AACGATTGCTCGCTCACACTTCGTCTTCATATAAACGGATTGTTTCAGTTCCCCGATCTCCTCCTTAAGAGCAAGAATCGCATCTTCGTTTCCTTGCTTGTCAGCAACCCGTCTATGTAGATCCATAATCTCCTTCTGCCCAAGGATTTAAAAAAAAAACAAAAAAAAGTTTCACCTGCTAGATACAATGGATCCATTCTTCGGGTCTCGCTGCACTACTTTTCATACGCAAAAACAACAAAAAGTATGAGAAAAGTCATATAAACCTCCCCGCAAGGAAACCTTTGTATTAATTTACCGCCAAACGAGAAAAAAATATCGCAGGCCTGAAAATCAATTGTGGTGTCATTTTTGCACCCTGGCTGGCCTAGTAATGACCGCCGTGTAAAAATGGCAGTTAAAAGTTTTGTAAGGTGTAAAAATTACGCCGAAAGTGATTTTGAGGTCAGCGGCACCTTTTTCCCTGTTTAGGGAGAAATGGTCGTGGCGGGGATATTTTATGAATTTTCCAACTTTTCCCAAAAATTAAGGTCGTGTACTTTTTCATGTTCTAGGGGAAGATTCATTCTCATTTTGCACATTTGGAGAAGTAGTGCAGAGATCTGTGAATGAAGTCACTCGTGCTCTTCCAGTTGGGTTGTTGTTTGCTCAAACATGAATCTACTTTTCTGACTTGCATGATGCCTGAATGTGGATATGTTTTGGACGAGGTTTAAAAAACCGATTGATCTGTTTTTCTGCATCTCGACAGAAGACGCATCCAGATTTGGATCTATCTTCTCTGCTCCCGGGGGCCAAGTCCCACTAGCACGAGTTTGGTTTTTATTTCTATACCGACGCGGGTGGCACCGTGGTAAACCATTTCTAAGTTTTTTTATGAATTAAGAAAACCGTGTAGAAAGGTCTTGGAATGATGACAATTTGCCATGGAGTGTCGTTGGGCGTTGCTCCACTTCACCAAATATGGAAAATGACAATGTATTTTTGGCCTGTACATGAGAGAATACATCCCCATAGTTTGGGACTGTGTAACATCGTGTTCGGGTTTGGTGACCGAACCCGAACGTTCGGGACCGAACGCGAACGAGCGACGAAACTCTCCGAATGTGAACATTAAAAAAAAAAAAAAGTTCTCAAAAAAATCTGATAAACATATATGTTATGTAAAATAATAATACAAACAACTTTTGCCTTGGAGGTATGGTCAAATTCGTAACCAAACTCGAGTTAAAAATAAAATATATATATATATATATATATATATATATATCGTCAAATATATATATATATATTTTTTAATATGTTCTGCCGAACACGTTCGGGTGGCGTTCGGTCGAACACCTGAACATGTTCGGACGTTCGGAAAAGCTCCGAACATGTTTGGTGTGCTACATAGGTTTGGGAAAAATCATATTAAAACCTCCCCACGACAAAACATTTATATTCATTCTCTCTCAAATGGGAAAAAAAGTGTCGCAGGCCTCCAAATCACTTTGGGCGTCATTTTTTCACCCTGCAAAACACTTTTCTGCCATTTTTACATAGCGGATGTTACCGTCCCAGCCAGGGTGCAAAAATGACACCAAAAGTGAATTTGGCACTTGCGACACTTTTTTTCCAGTTTGGGGGGAAATGGATACAAAGGTTCTATCGCGGGGAGGTTTCATGACTTTTCCCCATAGTTTTTGGCTTTCGTGTATGTGGTGAGAAGCGCCAAAGGCTATGGAGTGGTCGTCTACTCAGAAAGCATTTGTGTGTGCACACACACACACACTCACACGCACACCTAAGAAAAATGGTCTACTTTACTGACACCAACCTTGCAATCATAGAAGACTGTCGGTCCAAACCCTTGACAAGAACGGTAGTAAGTATGAGAAACTAATATGACAGTTATAAAACCCACTCTACACACCCACTCAGCCATGGACACCCAATGGCATCTGGCGAGTCCTTTTCCATCAGTCAAACGAGTCCTGGGCAGACTCTCGGGGTTCACCCTCCTGATGAAATTTGTTTTGAACGGTGAAAGTCGGACGAAATAGTCTGGCACAGTCATGCTTTTTTTGAGTGTGTAGTGAATATGAACACACCCACACACCCACACACACCCACACCCACACACCCACACCCACACCCACACCCACACCCCCCCACACACACACAAAGGGAGAGAGAGAGAGAGAGAGAGAGAGAGAGAGAGAGAGAGAGAGAGAGAGAGAGAGAGAGAGAGCAGTCAACTCAGATAGACACACTCTTCTCGCCTTTTTTTTTTAATTCTGGCCCTTACCAATTTACGAACTGGTTTTCGTAACTGACCCATCAAAACACCGGCCCGGAATGAAAACCTCTCCAAGGATGAGGAAGAATACCTAGGACAGTTGATGGTCAATGAGAGGGTGAGAAAGATCTAGCGTCCTACTACTTGCACGACAAAAAAAAATGAGACCTCCCCACGACGAAACCTTTGTATCCATTTGCCCCCAAACGGGGAAAAAGGTGCCGCAGACCCTAGTCATCTTTGCACTCCGGGGTCGGGACCCACATGCGCCGTGTAGTTTAGTTGGGCGGCGGCAGCGGGTGGCGTCGGGGGGGCAGCGGGTGGCGTCGGGCGGCTGCGGGCGGCGAATCCTGGATGCATGATGGACCCGGATCGGACGTGCGCACAGTCAACCCGTGCGAATGTGAGAAGAGCGCAGGGTTTCCAAGTCTTTTGGACATTTGTATCGGCTGAGACGTGGTTTGGGAGGAGGCGAGGCCGTGTTCTGCGTGGTAGAAAGCTATTCCAAAAAAAGTGCGATCGACAACGACCGCTGTCCTCTGTGGTGATTGTTTTGGTGGAAAGTCCGCGATTTACTGCAGTCCTCTGCATTGATTGTTTTGGTGGAAGGTCCACGATTTTTGGCCACTTTGAAGTTATGGATGGATGTTACCGTGATTTTACCGCCAGAAAACGGAAGATGATTCCGAATTGAGGTTGGCCACCAACCAGCAGAAGCCACGCCCACTGACAGCCAAGCAGGTTTCCAGATTTTCACGCCCCCCACACATGGCACACTGTAGAAAACTACAACTCCACGGTCCATGCCCCCGACACGTGGCACACTGTAGAAAACTACAACTACTCAGTCCATGCGGGTCCCAGCCCCCTGCTGGGCCGATAAAGGCCTATGTGTAAAAATGGCGGGAAAGTGTTTTACAGGGTGCAAAAATGACTCCGAATGGGGTCTGAGGCACCTTTTTTTCCCCATTTGGGGGAAATGGATACAAAAGGTTTCGTCGCCGAGAGGTCTTATGACTTTTCCCAAAACACAATTACGACCGTCCGATCCCTTTGCTATCTGCGGCCCAAAACAGCGTCGCACACACGAACGGTCCTCATTCCTATAATACGCAGAAAGATTGCTACCGTAGTGGGACTTGGCCTCGGCAGTGCTGCATTCCTCCTCTGGATGTCGAACCCTAGGGGGGGCCAAGTCCCACTCAGTACCCCAACCCCAAATCTCAACTTCTGACCGTAGATTACGAAATCTCAACTTCTGACCGTAGATTACGATGATCAGAGGCCAGAAATGAGGAATCTGGGACTTGTCCCCGGGGGCAAGGTCCCGCCTGCGCAGACTGTCCATTTCTCACCGTCGACTATGGAGATCGACGGTTACGAGAGAATATTCCGGCCGAGTCCTTTTTTTTGTGCTTTTTTTTTGTGTCTTTTTTTCGTCCCTTTTTTTTGTCCCTTTTTTTTGTGTCTTTTTTTTTGTTTGGTGTCCTTCGGTGCAGAAGCCATGTCGTTTGGCGCGCTGTGTATAGAAGTAACAGGGTCGGCGATGCCTGTGGAGGTGTTCCTCTGCATTCGGATGATGGAGTAAATCGTGCGTGGCGCGCAGTGTAACTCCCGGGCGACGGAGAGACTGTCGGTCGGGTCTTTTTTCGGTTTCGGAAACGGGCGAGGATTTTTCTTATTTTTTTTATTTTTTATTTTTATTTTTATTTTTAAGCGCCGAGGATTTCCATTATTGTTATTGTTTGTTTTTCTTTTGAAAAGCTGTCTTCTCCTCATCGGAGTATTTGGAATTATTCAGTGATACGCTGTCGCGCCGTCTTGCCACGTGGCAATCAATGCGATAAATATACAAACATTATTTATTTATTACTATACTGATGTGCAGAGAACGTGGTCCGAGTCTAATCAGCACCCAGCAGAGACTACGTGTCATGTCAAGCGCCTTGGTCGTTGATATGCAGAGAACCTGGTCGGCTTCATGTGGATTGATGCACTGCATTTTGCGTACAGCTTCGCGCGATTCATTGTGTCGATTTTGGGTGTCTGTGACCGTCCGTAAGTGAGCCAACGGTGATCGGGTTCATGTGAACGTTGGCTCCCTCACCTCCCTCTCTTGCAAAGATTCCCCTTTTCATTTCCAAGATCATCTGTGTGCGAAGATTCGGCGATGGCGTTACGTTGGGGAGAGAGAGGGGGCTCGGCCGCCGTGAGTGCCTTGGACGCGGGCCTCTCTGATGTCGATCTTCGGTCCAGCCGACGGTGCTCACCAACAACACTCCTTGGCTGCTTCGTTGCGGCAACGGTAGGCTTGTCGAGTGCTTTCCTTCTCCTCCTCCTCCTCCTCCCCCCGCTCCTCCCCCCGCTCCTCCCCCTCCCCCCGCTCCTCCCCCTCCCCCCGGTCACTTCTTCTGGCCGCCAAAGACATTCTTCGAACTCCCGCCTTCTGAACAGTTGGGCAACAAATCTTTCTGCGTCTTCTTTGTCTACCAAGCGAATACTCAACACGGGGACATTTCCGTCGTCGACCGAGGATAATGCTCTCGGGCAGACGGTAATTGGAGGTCACCCACAGTCACCATGGGATTGGAATACCTCCTCCTCCCTAGATATCGGCGAATCAAGAACGCTAGAGAATTACGCAGCTGGTTCGATCTGCAGGAACGTCATTCGGAACCTAGTCGTTGCTCCCGACACCTCTGAGGTGTACTACATACGGGACGAGGAGTGCGCGTCCCAGCGAAGTCGGTGGTATGTTTGTAGAACTTTTGATGACGATGGAGGTGGTTCGACGGGTGACCAAAGGTCCCAATCTGGATGCTTGATTGACTCCTCGGCGGATGAGATTCAAGGAGATCGATTCGTGTTTCTGCAAGGCATGGACCTCTCCCTCGACCAGACGCACCTCATTCTCAGCTTGACTTCGTCAGCACAGGCCGAGCGCGAAGGGTATAGCGCGCTGGCGCTTCTGCGCACAAGCTACCCAACTGGGCAGGGTGTGGAGAAATACCCCGTGCGGGGATTTGTTGGCAGCCTGGCATTAGCTCGGAGAAAGGACACGCTGTACCTGGCGGTGACTGTTGGTGCAAACGATAGCGGACTCCGGTATGTCGGCGTTGGGGAGTGGGGGGCACCCACAATGGGCCGCCGTGACTCTGAAATCAGTCCGAATCCCGTCGAAGTGAACGAATGGAGTGCAGGGATGACACTCAGTCCGAGAAGTTTCCCGTATGGAAATACGGGCATGTACGTGGTAGACAAAAAGCGTAGTTCGCTGACGGCCTTTCTGCTGATGAACGACTTGACGAATGGAAGTATCGCAGGGAATGCGACCAGCACAGGCTTGCGCGATATGGCATTCATGAGTGATAGGTGCAGCATCTTCATTTGCGGCAGTAATGACGGGACAGGGTATATCCGTTGGATATATAACAAATCTCCTCAATTAAGTTTCGAGAGCAACGAGACGCTGGCGGTCTACAACAGCGCAGAGGGTATTGCGGGACTTGCCCTCCGCGAAAACGACTCGCATGTCATTTTGTATGTTGGGACTAGGGATGGTGACCTGATCGCGGTGCCCATTAACAAGTCGGCACTTACTTGCCCCTCACAGACATCTGATGGATCGCCGCCGGCCAATTCCCCATCAAGCCTCTCATCACCATCACCTGCCTCTCATTCTCCCCGTCAGGCGGACGGTGGTCCAACACCGGCAGTGCACTCCGTCTCGCCATCTCCGCCGACGCAGACAAGCCTTGATAAAAGTCCGAGCCGGAGTGCAAGGAGCCGGCAGATCGGCCTGGCAGCTGCTGCCGTTGTCTTGATTGCAGCCACGGTTGCCTTTGTGTGTTTCGTGTCTCGTCGGCGGCGTTCCTCCTCCTCCGCAGGCCGAAAGGCTATGCAGGCGAGAAACCTCTCTTCCTCTGTGGGCAGTGCGGGGCAGCCTGTCAATGACATGACGTCTCCCGATCCCGACGTAGAGCGCGAGCAGGTGGAATATTCCTCGGGGCTGCAGTCGTCCCGGATCCCGGTCGCCCTGCCGCTGTCGCCGCCGCCATCGCCGTCTTGCAAGCTCTTCTCGCTTGCGAGCCTCTCGGCATGCACGGACAATTTCGCAGACAGCCACAGAATACCGATAGCCGCGACCTGCGGAACGTTCGGCGAAGTTTATCGAGGGTCAATAGGGGGTACGGAGGTGGCCATCAAGCTGAGGAGGGGTCGATTGACGGAGAACCTTCGCCGACAGTTCCTTTGGGAAGTGTCCACGTGGAGCAGGCTGCAGCACGACCACCTCCTCCCTCTCATCGGGTACTGCCAGGAGGACGATTACTGCGTTCTAGTCTATCCCTACTTCAGCGGCGGCAATCTCCATTCCCGTCTTCATGATAGGATGAGACTAGGAGTAGGGGTAGGGGCGGCAGGTGTGGGAGGAAACTCCCTCTCTTCTCCCCCCCCCCCTCCTCCTCTTCCTCCCAGTTTGACATTGATTCAGCGATTGCAGATCGGATTTCAAATCGCCAAGGCTGTGCACTATCTCCACGAACGCGCAGGACAGCCAATCATTCATCGATCAATCAAGAGCAGCAACGTGCTGTTGAGTAATCAACCTGGAGGTCAAGTAAGAGGAGGAGGAGGAGGAGGAGGAGGAGGAGGAGGGGAGGTGAGCGCCGTTCTTGCAGATTGTGAATGGGCAACGATGTGTGAGAAAGTCTTCGAAGTGACGCATGATGAGTTCGTGAAGGCGGCGACAGCTTCTGGAACTTTCGGGTATATTTCACCTGAATACTTGCTCGCCTCTCAGCTGTCGGAGAAGAATGACGTGTACGCTGTAGGGGTCATCCTGTTCGAGATGTTGACGGGGAGAAAGGCCGTCATGCTCGCTCCCTCGGGGATTGGCTGCATGACGCTGGCTGATTGGGCCAACCCTTTTCTACGGGATCGAAAGCCGTCTCCAACGCCCAAAGGGAATCGTCCACCTCCTCTTCTTGCTCCCCCGCCTGCTAATCTTCCCCCTGCGGCTCCTCCTGCTGGGGCGGGGGGACCACAGCAGCGCGCCAATCTTCCTCAATCCCTCCTAGATACTTCGCTGAAGGAACAGGCAACCATGCCTTTGATGAAGAAGATGGCGATGAAAGCGCTTCAGCTTGCAAGCAAATGCACCGACGATGAAGAGAAGAGAAGACCTTCCATCGGTTATGTAGTCGATGAATTCCGCCGGATCCTTGTCTTAGGGGAATCGGATTCGCGAAGCCGATTCCTGGTTAGTAGGTGATGATGATGATGATGATGATGATGAGGATGATGAGGATGATGAGGATGATGAGGATGATGAGGATGAGGATTAAAGGAGCGTAATTAGATGATTAGCGTGGTGATAGCACTCTAATAAGATGATCAGCATGATGATAGGAATCTTAATTAGATGGTCATGATGATGATAGGAATCTTTGATCGTGATGATGATAGGAATCTTAATTAGATGATCGTGATGATGATAGGAATCTTAACTAGATGATGGTGATGATGATAGGAATCTGATTAGATGATGGTGATGATGGTCGGGTCCTAATCAGATGATGATGGTCATGATTATTGGAATCTGATTAGATGACGGTGATGATGATCGGGTCCTAATCAGATGATGATGGTCATGATTATTGGAATCTGATTAGATGATGGTGATGCTGATCGGGTCCTAATCAGATGATGATGGCCATGATTATTGGAATCTGATTAGATGATGGTGATGGTGATGATGGTGATGATGATGATGATGATGATGATGATGATGATGATGATCGTTATCTGACTAAATGACGATGATGATGATGATGATGGGAGTAATGAGATGATGAGGAGGAGGATGATGTGTAGGATGATGATTACTATGTTGGGCGCGATGAGGATGATGACGTGTACGATGGCGATAATGATTACGAACGTTGGCGATGATCACGATTCAGTACTAGTAATATATTAATTACAAATTTGGCGGGAAAGTGTTGGCGGGAAAGGGATCTGGGCGAAGTAGGAGTTGGAATTTGGCGGCGGGGCGTGTGTAAATAGAAGGTCGGGAGTGTTGGAATTCCCGCCAAAACTGGAATTTGGCGGGAAAAAAGTGATGTGGACGTGTCGTTGTAACCTATTCATTAGTTGATCGAAACCGACCGGCGGGGATATCATCGGCGGAACAGAACCGATTCAGAAACAGTTTTGAAACGGAACAGATTTGGAGCGTATTTGGAATTTGGAACAGATTCGGAACAGATCTCGAACAGATCTGGAACAGATTTGGACCGTTTGGAACATCTTTGCTCGAGATTTGGAACAGATTGGGACCCGATTTGGAGCAGGTTTGTATCGGGATGTATAACGGATTTGCAACAGGTCTGGAACAGATGTGCGGACGACAGCGCTTCGTTTGTGTGTGTGCGAGAGAGAGAGAGAGAGAGAGAGAGAGAGAGAGAGAGAGAGAGAGAGAGAGAGAGAGAGAGAGAGAGAG